ACCATCAGTAACACCTACATCTGTCTCCGGAGATTTCAAATCGTTGATGCCTTCCTTCCATCGTTGAATTGGTGAACCATCATCGCTAACGACGTCAAACCACCACCAGCAACGCCCATCACCTTATGTTCCATTTTTCTCGGATCTTCGTAAAATACAACCACCACCAATAACCTCCGACAACTTTCCCCCAACCTCTGTTACATCAGATATTTTACACGACTGTCGCGTTCGTCGATATCCCTAGCTCTGACCTTCTACATCTTCACATCTAAAACTTCCAATGACTCTAAGCCATATCTAACCTTCTACTCCTTCAGATTTATCATGAATCACAACTCTCACGACTGAAAACACTAGATTTGACGTTCTACACCTTCACATTTATGATTTGTGTTTCGCCTTTGACCTCTAGCCTCGCCAAAAAAAGTATTGTTGTGGTCAGATCAGACGAGAAATGACAAAAACTCACCTTCTCCTAGTGGTTGGTGGTGGTTCCGTCGCCTTCTAATATTTTATGGTAAGATCCGATTATTTTTCTAACGAGAACTCACCTTCTATCGGTGACTGATGGTGGTTCCACCATCACCGCCTCCTTTCTTTGCTCTTGATTTCTCGGATTTTTGAAATAAACATGCATATGTGGTGTTTGATGAAATGTCTCAATGAAAAGAAGATATGTTTTAAGTTGTATGAAATGAATGAATTTGAATTAGTCTATTAAGTTATGAATGGATGTCCGAACTAATATTTTAAGTTATGAATGAGTGTGAACTAGTATTTTAAATAGTGAACTATAAATAAATTAATATATTGAATTGTGAATTCTAATTTTTTAATCCATATATGATGATTTTTGAAGCATGGTAAGAGCTTCAGATTTGCTTGTGTTAGAAGAAAAAAATATTGTAAATAATATGTATTAAGTTATAAAATTATTTTTATTAAGTTGTGAATTTTATGTATTAATTTGTGAATTATATTTATTAAGTTTTGAATTTTGTGCATATATTTGTAAATAGTATGTATTAAGTTGTGGATTTTGTGAATTGAAATGTGAATATATTAAATTATATTGTGAATTAACTCTCTTAAATGTGAATGTTGTATTAATTTGTGTGTTTGATTGTGAATAAATGAATTACTTGTCTAAATAATATTCTAAATTCTTACTTTTATCTTCAAAAATGTTTTTGGTTTAAAAAACAATAACTTTAGTAGTATATTGGAGTTTTGTGAATTATGTTTATTAAGTTATGAATTTTGTGCATTAATTTGTAAATAGTATGTATTAAGTTGTTAATTATGTTTATTAAATTGTAAATTTTGTGTATTAATTTGTGAATTATGTATTTAGTTGTGAATTTGTGAGTTAAAGTATGAATATATTAAATTAAACTTTGAATTTACTCTCTTCAATTGTGAATTTTGTATTTATTTTTGTGTTAAATTGTGAACAAATTAATTATTTGTCCAAATAATATTCTAAATTCATATTTCTATCTCCAAAGATGTTTTTGGCTTAAAAATAATAATTTAATAGTATATGGGGGTTTTAATTATTTGAGTTGGTAAAACCAAGCGTTTTTCAAGATAGAAACATAGGTATAGATACAGTGCCACATTAGACATAAGGGTATTCATGGACAGTAATGATTTTAAAACTTTGACAAAACTTCAAAAATGGTCCCTGTGGTTTTCGAAAATATCAAGTTTAGTCCCTAATTTCAAAAAACCTCACAGATAGTCCCTGTGGTTTCAAAACTTTTAACAAATGGTCCTTTTCGCTAACACCGTTAGCTTTTGACCGTTAAATGAAGGGCATTTCTGTCTTTTCACTACCACAGGGACCATTTATGAAATTTTGCCCCTATTTAATAATAATAATAATATTTTAATATTAAAGGTCTCCCCCACACACACTCTCTCTTATCTCTCTCTCTCTCTCTCTCCAATGCTCCCATCGTTACCACCACAACATCATTTATTTCTCTTTTATGAACCCTAAAAATACCATTAACACCTCCATACTCTAATCACATTTTCAGCTCACCATCACCGATGATATCCTTGGCCTGAACCACCCAATTGGGGCCTCTTGTCTCCGCCACCCTGCACATCTGGATTCCGGACAACAGCCAAATCGCAACCTCTCATCTCCTCCACCCCTCTGTCCCTCTCTCGTCTCTTACTACCTTCTAAACAGAGTTAACAATGGCGAGGGTCAGTGGTAGCAGATAGATGATGGGGTTTCAAACAGAAAAAATCTAAGCAGATATGAGTAAATGTAGAGGAAGGGAGAAGTGTCATCGAGGATCAATAGCGGTAGAGTGAAGATCGGAAGCAAACTGCGGATCGGCGACAATGGATTAGGGGAAAAGCAAACAGGCAAATCAGTTTTCGGTTAAAGAAGGGAGAATCGAAAACTGATAAGTCGATGGTAGTATTTGGTCGGCGACGTGGAAGACCCATCATTGACGGTAAGAAAATCTGCACCATTGTTCGATTTATGGAGGTTGAAATTGATTCAGATGGGTCTTCCATCGATTTAAAGGTTCTCGAACCTTAATTTGTTGGTTTACGTGTCTCCACAATCTTCCCACAATTTGTCGGAGGAATGATATATCTAGTACCAGCATCTGATAATTGATTTTCTCATATGATAATCGATTTACTTGTTTTTCAAATTCTTTATTGATATTCTTGATTAAATGGATTTTGTGAGTCATAGTTCATGTATTGATTAACAAAATGGAAATTTTAAAATACAGGATGAGTATGATTTCAGAAATGGATATTATCGATGAAGTAAGAGATGAGTTTGGATGATGATTGATATAAATCTGTTTATTTGGATAAATTAAAGATATTATGATTGTGTAATTGATAATTGATCAAGATGAATTTAGACCCAGATGTTGGTTTGAAATCAATATACCAACATGATAGTATCAGTGTTCAGAAATTAAACTGAAAGTCTGAATCAACGATATTGTTCTTCTTGTCAAATTAAAAGTCAAAGTTAACTTCAGTATTTTTTATTCAGGTTTGTTATGCAAGAAAAAAGGATTTTGATTTAAAATTGACTTCAATATTTGCGTTTGTTCATGTTGTGAGACCTTTAATATTAAAATATTATTATTATTATTAAATAGGGGCAAAATTTCATAAATGGTCCCTGTGGTAGTGAAAAGACAGAAATGCCCTTCATTTAACGGTCAAAAGCTAACGGTGTTAGCGAAAAGGACCATTTGTTAAAAGTTTTGAAACCACAGGGACTATCTGTGAGGTTTTTTGAAATTAGGGACTAAACTTGATATTTTTAAAAACCACAGGGACCATTTTTGAAGTTTTGTCTAAAACTTTTTATATAGATTTTATGATAATTTTAATATGAATTTTCATGGATAAACAAATATATGCTCAACAAAAAAAGGAAGTAAATAAATAAATAAACGAAAGTTTATTAACAAAACATTTATATAGTTAAAGAAATCTATATATATATATATATATATATATATATATATATATATATATATATATATATATATATATATATATATATATATATAGGGAAAAGTGAATATACCCTTAAGGGTATATAAGCTTACGTACCCAAACACACCATAATATGTCGTTTTATTTGATATATTCATTATAATGTTTTTAAACTCCAACCCAAACTTGATTTACTTTCAAGATTTTCGAATTTTCACTATTATATTTCTCTAATATCGCATGTTTTTGCCGAATACCTACTAGGTTATATATATTGTAGTTGACAATGAAAATTATGTAAGAGGAAGACAAATGTGTAATATACAAAAATCATGGAAGTAAATCAAGTTAGAAGTTAAATTAAAAGAACATTGGACAATTAGAATGTATTATATGATACAAAACGACGTAGTATAGTGAGTTTGGGTACCTAAGCTTATATACCCATAAGGATATATTCACTTTTCCCATATATATATATATATATATATATATATATATATATATATATATATATATATATATATATATATATATATATATATATATATATAAAATAATAAAATAAAAAAACAATATTTTTTGTAAATAAAATAGTAATGATAAGTCAAAGTCTCCAAGCTAATATAAAAAGTAAATAATAGATATAGCATAATAGAAAATTGGTAAGACTACTAAGTCATTAAATGTACTAAATCTTCGTGACGTGAAACAATGAAACAGTTGAATTTTAACATAATTTTGTATTTTATGTTCTCATCTCAAGTACTTCATATTATTTTATTTTTTTTATGTTCTCATCGTAAGTACATAATTTTTGTATTATTATTCATTTGTTTAGCTTTAGTCATCGTCAAGTGGAAAGTAAAACAAGTAAAAATAATAAAATTGAATAACAACAATTTTTTAATAAGACAAATAAAAAATTTCTTAATGGGTGTTTAGTATGATTAAAAAATATCGTTTATGTGGTACTATGTGTTCGTTTTGTTTGTATTATAGTTGCCGATTGTAAAGAAAAATAGAATTTATTTAGTTTAATTTAATTTGATTTGATGAAAATACCCTTTATGAAATATATATATATATATATATATATATATATATATATATATATATATATATATATATATAATTGCTGCCATAAATCACGCATTGAAGAAACATCAGAACTCAGTAAAAGTTTGAGGTTTGACCTTGTGTTCATATTATTTAGAACCTTGGTTGCATGCGTTTATCTTTTAATTTTGGAAACTTGGAAGTACGATATTTAAAATTTTTGAAATTTGAATCCGAAATAGATTATTGAAAGAGGATGTAGGAAGTTGATATTTAGAAACCATAATGGTATGACATGATCCAGCCTCCTTAAACCGAATGATGAAATGATCCAATGTCACCTTCTTTCTTATCATATGGGTTATTTGATTTGTATTAGACTTTTTAACCAGATGCAGCAGAGAGTAATATGTATAGGTATAACACAACAAAAGCTAAGCTGATAGCGATCAATGAATTAATTAATAACATGCATGGAACGGAGTTGGAATCTGTAAACAGGTATAGAAAAAACACACATAGCAACACCAGATGAGAAAAAACAAGCCCATGCCCAACAAATCAACAATCATTTGTTTCAGATGTTCTTGACCCTCATATTAAAATATAATACCCCAAAGTCCAACCAGTTTTCTTAAAATGTCCGACAAGATCAAAAGACAAGTATCTTTTTAACACATGATTTTATATAATAATGACATCAGCAAGACTAGAAACCAGCCCATCCAGCAGGTCGGGAAGCCGACTTACTTTCTTTGTTTTTGAACTCCTCCCCATAACCAGAACGCCCAGAATTAGGGGTGCTGATATTAGGTGTTGTGTTTACCTGAGATTGAGAGCTAGCAGCAGCAGGAACCGCTGTGAAGCTTTCTGCTCCAAAACCCCAACTGGTGGTGGTGGTGCCGCCTTCAGCCGCTTGCTTGTTCTGGTGCCCATTTCTCGTTCTAACCGATTTGGAGTTGTTTGTGGGATTCTCCTCAGGAAATGCCTGCCATGAGTTTTGTTCAGAGCTTGGGACTGGGGACCCTTTATCAAATAATCCCTTTTCAACCTCCCAAACTCTTCCATCTTTCTCTTTCTGCTAAACAAACAAATTAATCTCAATCATAATGTAAAACACACCAACATACTTTCATTTCTTCCTATGGGACCTTTTCTTTCATAATTATACCAATCTCATCCAAATACAAACCAATTTTCAATGCCATAATCGGGTAGATTTTGCTGAGTACAACGTCCTGATAAGTGATAACAGCAAAAACGAAAGCATACAGCTACAACTGACTAAATTATTCAAACTACAATGTCATAATTTTTTTATTTTTTTTTTAAATGTGAAGGTAATAAATACAAAGAAATGAAACTATACCTGTGGAGATGGAGAGTGGTGTTGAATTCCTGGAGATGGCTGGGTTTTAGAGCTGGTTTTATTTGGAGATGGAGTGGTAGAAGCAAGAGTTTGCTTCAGCTCATGCAGCTCTTGTCTCTGTGATCGACAAATAGCAGATAACTTTTCATATTTAGAACTCAATTCATTTTTCTCCATATTAACCTGCTTCAGCTGTTCCCTTAATCTTTCTACTTCACCCTCTAACTCCTCTTCCTTCCCAACTCTATTCATGCCAAACTCACTTGCAAAAGCATTAAAACCATCATTAGATTTTGCTTCTGGGAAAAAGTTCATTTCAAAGTCCTTTGAAGGACCCGACTTCCCTTGCACCATTTTTTGCGAGGACCGGGAATGACGACCTTCATTTTTCGGAGGACTAGTTCTGTGTAAAGTAAATCTTTCAGCCCCACTTGGCTCCTCATCAAATTTAACTTTGTTGTTAAGCTCTTCAACAACAGCTGATTCCTTAGCATGCTGAGTTGTCCAGAAAGCACCCATGGGCCCACCACCACCCTCGTTCCTGGATGACTCAGCGGTGCTGGTGGTTGGTGGTGGCGGTGGGCTTCTACGAGGTACCGGGCTAGATTTATTTGCAGGCTTTGAAAGACCTGTTAAACCAATATTAAAATTTGAATAAAAATATAATACTAATAACAAAAATAATTGATTTATGACCTTCATGGATGTCAGCTTGGAGCATTTCAGGTGGTCTATCGGGTAAAGACTTCTGAGATTCATCGGGTAAAAGACCATTAACTCGAAACCACACCTGCATAAATCAAAAAAAAAAAAAAAATGACATGAGTAAAAATGGGTATACACATGGCAGCTATGTTCCATGTGTGTATAACTAACCTAAATTCATGGAGATGAATGTCCAATCAAGCAAAGCTCTTGCCTGCGTGATGTCTGGTCTGGAAGCTGGAGAAGATTGCAGCATGTCCTTGATGAGATCTGTTATTGATGAGCTGTATTTTGGCAATTCTGGAATGCGATAATTTCCATTCAAAACTTGTAGCTTTGATTCACCATCAAATGCAGACTTGAAGTAACAGATGCGGAAGAGTAGACACCCAAGTGCCTGCATGAAATCAAACTAGGATGAGAAGGGCGTTCATGTCTTTTCACATGGCTCAGGGTAACAAATGGAGGACTCAACTTACCCATATATCAACTTTCTCGCTTATAACTTCTCTCAGAAGCAAATCCCACATCTGAAACAAGAACAAAAGTTGCAAATGAATCAAAAAGAAAGATTTGATTGTTAATTATCTTTAACAAACAAACCTCAGGGGATCTATAGGCAGGTGTTGTGTGTTTTCTTATGTTGTCTTCTTCAATGCCCATTTCTTCTGGCCTTTCAAAACGTTTATGATTTGTTGATGTGCTACCAAAGTCACATAACTTCCATAATCCATCAGATCCAAGCAAAATATTTTCTGCCTTCAAGTCACTACATTTGCAAATGAAAATTATTGCTACTTTTCTTCAAAAGCAAAAGACATAGAAAAGAATTTAATAAGTATTATGTTAATTACCGGTGAGCAATGGGTGGTGACTGGCAGTGCATAGCAAAAACTGCATTACAGACATCTCTGAAAATTTGAAGTACTTGTTTCTCTTCAAAGAAGCCAGCACCTCTGCTTTCCAGCACATTAACCAGAGATTTATCACAAAATTCCATAACAAGTAATGCTTCCTTTGTGCGTCCTGTATCCAAGAAAGTATGTGCACATAGCATGACGATGTTTGGGTGTCCTTGAAGTGATTTCATCACGGATATTTCTTTCTTCACAAGATCTAGAGATTCTTCATCGTTACATATCATGTGTTTTAGTGCATACTGCTTTGAACCATTTAGAGCATCTTGAGCCAAGTAAACACAAGAGAATCCACCCTCAGCTATCACATTGCGAACTTGAATTTTTAGATTTCCAATGTCAATCATGCGACCTTCGAGTCCAGACTTCTCCTTTGGCATGAATTGTTTGATTCTCCACATGGTTGATAGCAAAAAAGTGAATCTGCATAATGTTTGTTGTTAATTGAGAATCGCATTTGTGAAAGCAACTCACGCTTGATTACAATGTTAATCTGTATATAGAATTCACTCAGTAATCGGTGCTGAGTGCCTGATCTTCGAGTGCAATACTTCACACTTGATTACAATCAACAGTTTCAGTAAGCCCTCGAGAAATTGGATGAAAAGATTAAATTATATATCCTAATCGTATACAGATCTTTTCACAAATTCGTAGTAGCCTTGCGATTTTATAACCAGCGGTAGAAAAAATAAACAGAGTACGAAAATGTATATTTCGAATGTAGTTAAGAGATCTAAAAGATTCGATAGATTTCCCACGCACATGGCTTCCTTAAGACCTTGATTCCACACGTCAAGTGAAATTCACAAATGGATCTTAAGATACAAAGACCTAGATCTACGTAAACTCTTGACACTGCTATAGTAATCTACCCTAAGCATAAATAAACCAGAAATGATGCCGAATTTCTTTTACAACACTGTAAATAGAAAAGGAACGCCGAAATCAATAGCGTGTGATCAAAGGAAACGAACCTGGCGAGAGAGAACCGGATAGATCGGCAAGCAACTAAAGCAGACTCTTTTTATGGATTGTTGTTGTTTGTGTGCGCAAGATCTGAGATCAGAAGTGAGCTTTTATTTGTGGGGATGAGATGAAATGATGGTTTTAGATTTGATACCTGATTGTGATCTCAGATCTGGATTTGTAGCTTTGAGCATAAGGAAGGAAATCGACGACAGAAAGATAGTGTGTGGTGGGACGGCTGATGGAGAAAAGAACGCTGATAGCGTATGATCACCAGTCCACGATTGTACATGTATGTATATTTAACTACTGTGTGTAGAGATATCTACAAGATTAATTAATTTTATGTACAACGTGCCTATAACCAATTCTAAATTTCTAATTATATATTCCTTAAGTTAACTAATATTTTTTGTGTTATAAGAAGTAATAAACTTTAGAAAAAAAAAAAACAAATACGAGTTTTAATTGTCTATTTCATTTAATTAACTTTCTCCTTAATTTTTTTAGAAAAAAAATAATAATATGTGGTGGTTGTTGATAAAGGTCATTTCCAAGTCGATGTTAAATTAGGTTAATAACTTAGTTGATGTTTGGAAGATCTGAATTTTAAAATCTAAATTTCGAAAAGAATTTGAATTTTTAAGATCTGGATTTTTTAAACGTTGTTTGGTTAAAACATATGAATTATTGTATTGGATTATAACAATGACCAGTTACCCTTCTGTTTTATCTTTTAGTGAATTCAAGTGTTCATTTATAAAATAGTTGAAACAATTTCGTAAATGATCATAAAAATATATAAACAACACTTAAAATCCAAATTGAACATCAGCTTTTCAAGCACAATAGATTCTAATACACCTAGCTTCCACCAAAATTTAAGTAACTTTCACCTAAAAAGTCATCCACCATACACTCTATGTTATACCCTCCACAACACTTCATGATAGATTCACTATTCATTTAAGTTTTCAATTTCACTTTATAAAATATAATTTCATATTAGATTTTTAAGCACATTAGAATCTAATTCTTAGCAATTTATGCTTCCACAACACTCCATCTTATACCCTCGACACCTCCAAGTACCCATTTCAGATTCTTTACACAAAAAAAAAAATCAATTTCAAATTCCTTGTAAATGATACTATTTAGTATTTGTGTTTTGGGTTGCAAATACGGATGGAATAGTTGGTTGATTGGGAATTGACAAGTCACTCACAGCGGGATTAGCTGAGCTTGGCCAGGTATAAGTGATCTGCAAGGATAATTAGGCATATGATCTTGTTTTATAGCGGGAACATCGAACGATTAGAAGTTGAGTAATCAATTAAGGGATAAACGAACTGGATTCAGCGATAATGATTCGATATGAAAGGATCTCTCAAGGATTCAGACCATCTCGAGACAGCAGATTTCAGACGAAGCGGATGGGATCTTGTTGCGAGGAATTCGTTCACCTGCGTATTTTAGGGCTTTGCGAAGATTGGTCACAACTACCTTGGGAAGATTAGGGTGTGGCCAGGATGGTGACCATGTCACTTTAGTGGTTTGGCGTGTAAGGAATGGTAAGGAATGATTTAGAGGATGAAATCTAATTTAAGTATGGGAGAGTTGTAACACCCCGTTTATTTCATAAATAACTTAATTAATTAATGAATGTATAGTTGCCCTGAAACCAATAATTATGTAGCAGAGTGTTGGTCACGATGAACTAATTTTCATAATTTAAAAGTTGGGGGTTAAAAGTGTAAGATTCGGATTGATTTTGCAGTAAAGTTGAGCAACCACCACCCTACTTATGTCGTTGCTGCCTTCTCTGGCGGGAAATACCGTCGTGGCCGCTAGGGCTGCTGCCCGCATCCCTGTGTCTGTCGCCGCCTCGTTACTAGTTTATTCGTCAGGGTGTGCGTTCGCCGCCACCCTCTTCGTCTCTTCCTCGGCCTCATCGTCAGCTACGACCTGTCGCTGCTGCCAGCATGAATCAATCACCGCCGTGAGCCACCAGGCGGGTGGCTGGACCCTTTGTGCAATCAGAATTGTGTTGGTGTAATTATAGATGGTGTTGATGGCCGGGAAACATAAAAGATACCCACCATGGTGGCTGCCACGACCGGCCACCACATGGGTGGTTGTGTGTGTGTGTGATTATTTTTAGTGTGTGTGTATGTGTGTATTTTGGGATTATTTCATTGTAAAATTGTAATAGTGGCTAAAATAATGAAAAGAAAACTCAAAACCACCACCGTAGGGTGGTGGTTGCCGCCACCAACCGCCGTGTTAGGTGGCGGTGTGCTTTGCTTGCTTATAGTTGATTTTCGGATGCATGGACAAAATGGATTATAAACCCTAACGACCACCGTGAGGTGGTGACCACCGCCACAAGCTGCCGTTGACCACCACTACCCGAGGTGGTAGCGGGTGGTGCCTGACTAGTGAAACCCTAATGGGCCTAATGAACCCAAATTGATCAAAAGACCTAGCTATTGGGCCTATTGGGATGTTACTGGGATGGAAACCCTAATTAGGGTTTAGAAAACCCTAATTTTGGGATATATGGGCCTTGGACTTATCGGGACCCACATTTGGGCCATTGGAATGGAATTATAAATTACACTCAATCACCGTATAACTTATCTAGTAGAGTAATGGACTTAATGGAGTAAGTCCTTAATGGGTTAAATGAGAAACACTTAACCCTAATTGTCATTTTATGTGAAAACTCTAATTTCACTTGGGGTTTATGTTGGGCATTTCTAGTAGGCTTTGGTAATTGGATTATTAATGGGCTATCCAAGAATAATCATATGGACTAGAATATGTTGTTAGGCTTTAGGTTAAGACCCATATGAAGGTTTGGGCCCAATTTAGAAAATTGGGCCATAGATGGGCCATAGTTTGGGCCTTAATGATTATATGATATTGGGCCATTAAAAATGTCAAACGTTGTGACACAAGGTTTTTCCCAAAAACCTTACCTTTGATCCCCCAATGTTCAACGTCGATCTAAACTGGAAAACGGGTGTTATATCTCAGTTGTAATTCATCTATAATTATATGGATGATTGTGTAAGAAAATTATCCCACATCGTTGGATGCAACAAAGTTTGAATGGTTGTTTAGTTATAAAAGGAGAATACACCTTATCTAATTTCCACTCCAGCCTATGTTTGACTCAAAACTTTTAATGGGTTGGAGTGTTTGGTGATTTTGTTATCACCAAGAAGTTAGAAAGTTTTCAATATGACAATTACGAGGACTTTAAGTAAACAATTGTTAATATATTTATGACTCTGGGCTTAGAACAATTCGAACTTTTTTTATCAAGCAGGTAACCAGAAACTGGTTCCGACGATTCCAAGAGTGGTTCCAAAATTTTAGTAATCGATGTTAACGGTTCCAGTTCCGATTCCAACATATTTGGAACCGCCAGTTTCGGTTTCGGGTCCACTAAATTTGGTTGGGTACCTACTTATGCTCATCCTTAATCACATATATCTTATCTAAACATTCATCTTGAACTTAGACATAAAAGGTTACATGGACAATAATTCGAATTTCTTTTGTTAGTTTGGATTGTATTCTTGTCATGTTTGACTTGCCTTGGTTGTGTCGAAAGTAATAGGTAAAAATTATATACACACGAGGTCGTGATTCTTCACCTTAGATGGATGAACATACATTCTCCAATATATTATTTGTTGTATATTAGTTACAACAATACTCAAAACTTGGCGTTCCATGGCATTCCACATAGTTATCTTGATTCCACTATCATGAAGCTTTCTTCATGTTTTAGGGTTAAAAGAGTCCTTTGTTAAATAATCATGTTTATCCAAACTTTCAAGACATGTTTCGACAAAAACGTTCCATTTAGCCCAATTGAAAAAGTTTAAATTGATTGTGATCTTCAATATCACTTAATAATTTAGTACTCTCCAAATTGTTATTTTGTAGCATCATTGCATTTTTTTTCTTAATTCACTATGATAATATGTTGGCCAACAACTAGGAAATGGTCTCCGAAGTGTGGATGTTGTTTAGGTAATAATAGAGGACGACATGTTTCATGAGATATGTCGGTTAGGGAGTCAAATTTAAGGATGATAGTTTGCTAGAAGTTACATTGTTGATTTCAATAAGTTTGACGATGTATGGGGGCGAATGTGGTGAACATAGGCAATGATTTTTTTTTTGCAGAGAGATAAATATGATGTGCATTGTGAATATTCACAAATGTGTAAATAGTGACCATGATGGGGTAACTCCTTTGAACGCTTATAAGTTTTTTTCTTTTTAATAATTAGAGAAAAAATGTGATCAATGCCAATTGTATATCTAGGAAAATTTCTACAAATACAATAAACAACAAATGAGATTAGATTTGAGAGTTTGTGTGAAACATCAAAAAATATGGTTCCAATTTTTTTTATAATAAATAAAATAATATTTTCATATATCAGTCATACATCTCAAAAAAACCAATGTATCAAAAGTTATCAAAATCAGAGTAAATATCAAATGCGGAGTCCCAATGGTGTGTGTGATACAGTCAACCCGTGGTCTTCCTCTTGGAACCGGAAGTACCCGAAACACAAACTAAAATTCGTAAGCACAAAGTTTAGTGAATTCCCAAGATACCGCATACCAAACATATCACATAACGAGACCCACCCAAAGAGATACGAGCCCCACCCACACTCGTATAAAGGGCCTCGACTAATGAGGTATGGACCCCACCCACACTCGCAATACGGGCCCTGCCCAAAAAGATACATGCCCCACCCACACTCGTAATACGAGCCCCGCCCAATAAGCGTACATATACAAGTATTACATAGACAACTAGTATATCACATAATTAACAAGGGTCGACCATGGTTCCTTAGACCCGCTAAACCCGGTGAGGAAAACTCATCTCAAATCCTAAACGATAGCTAAATAGGTCTCGACTCTAAATATCAGCTCTACCCAACCCCTAAACAAAAATAATTTCTTAGATACAAATCAAAATGCCTCAACACCCCTTATAGGTAAAACTTGGTCAAAGACAACAGTGAAAAGTCAAGGTCAACAGTCCGTGTTGACCCAACACACCGTGTTGGCCTTCTACACTTTGTGTTTCTCCATAAAAAACAAGGTCGAGAAAAGCCAAACCAACACGGGGTGTACGACGTGTTCGCCTGAAACCTAACAGCTTAATACATTAAGCTGCCTTCATCAGATCTAACAGCTCCAAAGCTCGGGTCTCAACCAAAATGATATAGAAGGGTAAAGTTTCCAACTTTACCCTTTAGAACCACCAAAATGGGTCCAAAACCCAAACCCTAGGCTTA